GCTCATATTTTTGAGTATCTGATAAAGTAATTTTAGTTTTTGGAGATATGGTAAAGGTATAGCATTTTGGTTTATTAAAAGATAAAATTTGTCAAACTAGTAATTAGTTAACAAAAAATTATGCTGTAAGACTATGCAAATATATCCTTTTTAAATAATTATTACCAAGCAAAATAATTATAATTATAATAATTAAATCTATTTGTTGATTAATATTATGTCATATTTGTGATTTAGTAAATATATTATAATTAACACTAATATACAAAAGTTGATTTAAGATATGACCTAATATTAGAAGATATTAATGATCTGATTTAAGTATCAGGATTAATTTACTAAATATCTTATCTGTGATATATGTCCTGTATAAATGATTAATATAATGTAGGTTTGATAAAATCATGTCACCTTTGACAACTTAACATATGGTATCAGTTGAGATCGAGTTATGGTCATAATTTACTAAATATTGTATGATCTGATCAGCATATGCCATATTTGACAACTTAATATACTATATCAGCTAAAGTCAAACTCAGTCCACTTGGTTAAAAGATAAGTATTCTACCATTATACTACTAATACAAAAAAATCACATGCATGCATTTAGAGAATATATCTTAATATCAAAATCTTCTCTCAGAATTGTGAAATCAGTTATACATGCAAAATAGAAAGAGTGTGCATTTATCACTAATTTCTGAGATTGGAAATTTGAAATATCATGTATTTAAGAAGAATATATATTTAGAGAGAGTGCATTTAGAGAGAGTTAATTATATATTTATTTTTTTATAATATTTTTCAAGTTTTTAAGAAATTTTTAAAAAAAATAATCTAGTTATTTAATAAATTAAAATTTATAATAATAAATTATTTTTTAAAGTAATAATAATAGATAAAAATATAATCTTATTAAATTTATTATTAGAATTATATTTTTTAATAAGATATAAAATTTTATATATAATTTATATAATAAAATAAATTTAATTTTAAGAAATTTCATTAATAATTTTAAAATATTTAACAAATTTAGATATAAGTTTCTTAATTAATTTTTATTTATTAATAGAATTATTATTATAAATAAAAAAAATTTGATCTTTAAATAAAAAATTCTTTATATTTTTGATATTAATTTATCTATTTATACTTTTAATAATATTATTCTAATATTTTATAAATTCTTAAGCAGTTATAATATTATTTCTTATTAATAAAATAATAATTAATATATAAAATAATTATTTACTTATAATATATATTTAATAAAAGATTATTTATTATTATAAATAAATTTAATTATTTATTTTATTAATCTTGTTTATATATTATAAAGATTCTCAATATTTTTCTAATATTCTATTAAATTTTTCTATTTGATTATTTAATAAGAGATAAAAAATTACTAATATTACTAATTTAATTAAATAATAACTTTTAAAACTTGCTAGATAAACTTTGTATTTCTATTAGTGATGTGATAAATACTATAATTATTACAATATGATAATACTATATTTATTATAATATTATAATTCAAATTTACTAAGATTATAACTAATTGCAATCTGATAATACTTATTTATTACAATATTATAATAGTTAAAAAGCTATTCTCTTTATTAAATATAATTATTAAAATAAGTTATATAATTTAAAAATTATTTTAAAGAATATTTTATAATATTTAATTTATTACTATTTATATATTTAAATAAGATATGCTTTAAAAGTTTATTAATAAAAACTATTATTATAATATATTCAGATTTAGTAATAGAATTATTAAGTAATAATAGTATAAGTTTTATCAATTTCAATTCAATATGTCTAGTAATTAACAAATCATAAAATTCAAATAAAATCTTTCAAATAAATTAAATTATCTTTTAATTCAAAATGACAAGTTCTAGCTTGTTATTTAAACATTACATTATAAGATTTTGCAAGGTTTTCAAGATTTTTTAATTTATATTTTTTAATTAATTCTTTATTAATAAGATTGGTGATAACTGCAATAATTATTGTGTCCAGACTCTATCACTTTTAAATATCAATCAAATTCTTTATTATCATCTCTAGTAATTCCTTCTTCATATTCATAACATGTCCAAGTCGAAAATATGTGGGAAAATTGCCACATTTTGAGAAACCTAAAATAAAGTTTTTTATATGAATTTCTTTCATAACTAAATCGATTTCCATTTCTATACCCAGGCTAAATTCGTAATACCTGGCATAAGAAATTGTGCTTCAGGAACTCCGGATTCAGCTGATTTCAAATACCATTCGAATGCTTTTTGTTCATCTTTGATTGTTCCTTCTCCATTTTGATAACAAACAGCAAGAGCATATTGTGCATTAGAATTTCCAGACTTGCTGCTTTCAAATACCATGCGAATGCTCTTTGATTGTTCCTTCTCCATTTTTATAAGAATAAGCAAGATTATATTGTGCTTCAGAATCTCCAGACTGTTGCTTTCAAATACCATTCGAATGCTTTTTGTTCATCTTTGATTGTTCCTTCTCCATTTTTATAACAAAGAGCAAGATTATATAGTGATTCAGGATCTCTAACTCTACTTTCAAATACCATCCGAATGCTTTTGTTCATCCAGTCATCATTGCTGTATAATTCTCCAACTAAATATTGTGCTACAGCATCGCCTCGAACAACTGTTTGTTGGTAATATTGCAAAGCTAGATTATAATCTTCTTCAATATTAATTCCCAAATGATAAATAAAGTAGAATTTTTGTGTATTGTATATCATCCTGTAAGCTTGTAAAAATCGTATTTTATCAAAAGGTACTAGAGTTTTATTCACAAGAAATGCAATCAACTTCTTGTTTCTTCGCAATATTCATTATATTTAAAGATGTTATTGAAAAAAATCAATAAATCATCAATTGTTGTTCTAATTGCTGGATGTTAATTTTTTGTGATTGATTTTGATTTCATTTTCATCATCTGTATTTGTACTTTAATGATGAAGAAAAAAAATTACTAAATTATTGCCATCCTAGTTTTAAATTACCTTCTGGAATTAGCATATATTGCAAATCCTCTTTGGGTTGGCTCTGTTTGTTGTCGTGTTCTTGCAAGAATTTGACAAAATATGGTCACTGGTATTGCTGTCATTTACTGATATATTTGTTGTTGAACCGATGAAAAAGAAGATGCTGAAATTGTTTTATCTTTATTTTTTGACACACTTCCTATTCCGAATTTTAATAAATTTGAAAATACACACAACAACGCGCGATTTTGTTTCTTCCTAGTGCAACAAATAAAAAACCATTTATGTACCATACATGGTTAACGTTTAAACATCTAGATAATAAACTCAATTTTTTGCTATTAGCGTTAGCGTATTAATTAATAACGATAATATGATCCTTTTTATTTTAGAATCGTGCTTTATACTCCTATTTATATGTAAGACTTGAGTTGGATAATTTATGGTGAATTTTTAAAAATAGTCTATATTAAACATTTTTTATTAAAGTGCAAAGAATATTTTTTGAAAAGTGAAAAATTTCGCGTTCCCTCTTTAATATATGTCATATTGATGTGATTAATTGAATTATGGCTTGGAGCATATCTTAATTCAGCGTGTTGGATATCAATGATGGTGAGATTTACCTGGAATATGAGAACATTTCGTATCCAGTGATTCAAACCTAGGCAATAACGACATTAGCTAATTTTGCTAATTTCATAGACTTGATGGATTTGATTGGACTGATTTGTTTTAAATAAAAATTTGAAGTAGTATAGTTTAAAATATTATAAGCGCAAGAAGCTTATAAATTTTATTAAATTGTTCACTAATTTTCAATCTAAAACCACTAATTGAAAGTCATTCAGTAAAACCGTCTTAACCTGCGATCTTGAATTAGATTCAAGTATGCTTCTAAAATATTTTTAGCTTGTGTACTTCATGTCCTTTCCAGGAACCTTTACGAATTTCCCAACCGTTTTATATCTCGACATCTTTTGATTAAGCAATGGGTTCTTGATGAAAATACTCTACTTACGTAATTGGATGAATGCGACAAATTATTAATTTTGGCAAATAATAACACATTTTCATATATGTTTTTGCGCTTTTTGAGCGACTATTATTATATCCGGAAATGCATGGTCATGCTTTCTGTTTCTCATTGAAATACTGTATATCGATTTTTACCAGGATCTTTCATGATGCACCAAAAAAAAGACATAAAACTGTGAGGTAAAGCGCATCAGAGCAATAAAGGGTTAGTGATGAATTCATCGAATTTATTGTCGCAGAAGTTGTTTACAAATTTTACGAGGTTGTTAAGCCTTGTTGTAGATGCTGAATAAATTTGAAGAAAAGATTGCATTCATAAAAATAACGATTTATTTTATTATAATCCCAATAGTAATTTTTTAAATTCTAAAGCGTATACAGTACTTCATGCAATTGTGACTTTAATACATCATAGGCCCGTATAAACTTAGATACTTCATACTCAGGAGAATTTGCCTTTACTACAATCTGGCATGCTCATTATAAAGATCAATACCAAGCTCCAGTTATATCTCAATAAAGATGTTTTAATTAATTTTGGAGACGTGATCCTGTTACGATATATTTCCGAGTTTTCGTCATTGTTTTATATTTTGTGGCTTTAGAGAACTATCTGTTAACTATTTATGAAACGTTTTTTATTTTATTAATACAGCGTATTGTTTTTCTCAATGGTTAATTTATCAAAAGTAATTCGGTATTATAATATTAATGTTGTTATATTAAACTATATTTATTTAAACTACTAAAATTCCAAAAGCTTATATTTGTTTAAACACATTACGCGATTTAACATAATATAACAAAGAGCTCATGTAATAAGACCGAGGCATGATTAATTAGATTTTTTAATTATTTAAAAACAACTATGTTCATTATTCTTCCATTCCCTCTACGTACATTTAATTTTCTTATACAAAATAGAATAATTAAAATGGAATGTCAAACATTATCGACAAAGATGCGCGCCGAGCAAATGGGAGAATCTTACTTGAAGCTCGCAGAAAAACATAACTGGACAAATCCAGATGGAAGCTACCTACCCATCAATCTTAAAAACTTGTGTAAATTCATTGAATACAAAGGATCAACTAATATAAAAGAATCAATAAAGTGGTATTTGCAATTCTTGGGCAAATATCAACTAAATAAAAATGCGATCCGCGACCTCAAAAATTGGAAATTATTATGCGAGCACAAGCATGTTCAATTCCTTCTGAAGCACAGAACGAATAAATATCCTCGGCAATATAAACGGATCGATTTTGTTGATAAAGTTTATCATAAGATATTTGATAAAGGCAGAAGAAAACGCATCCCTGTTTATAAACATAAAAATCAATATGTCAGAAGGAAAGGTAAGAATATATTTTATTTGAATTCTATGCTACCAATCTTTTTTAATTGAAGAAAAGATAAATAATCTATATATTGATAAATCTGATGGTATTGACATAAATTTACAATTAACTGAATTTAATATTATTTCTAGAATACAAGCAATTAAAAACTCTGGTATATAATATACATTTGGTTTCTAATATGAAATAAAAGAAGCATATAATACGTTTTTAATATTCTTTAATCGTTTTAGAATTAGACGCCGTTAAAATTCAGAATACGTGTGGGTTCTTTCCTTGCTTTAACCCACTTGAATAATTATTTTCTGAAAAACAACAATTAGAAAAATGATAGAAAAAATAAAATCACAAAAATAACACATAAATCATTACTATCAAAATGTTCAACAATTTTGTATCTTTCGAAAATTATTTTTTTAAGTTATAATTTTGATCATATGAGCAATATTTTTGTAATTCATGTTAAATTAAAGGAGATTAATAAAAATGATGCTTTATAAGGCTACTATTAAAATATGCACTTTAAATGCTATAAAAAGTGTTCATGTGGTAATGAATACTATTACATGTATATACATATTGCAGTGAAAAAAAATTACAGTCAAAACAAAAAGATTAATGAACGGAGAAAAAAGCAGTCTCCGCGGAAAGGCCTATGATGATTGCCAAAAAGCGCCGGACTTCCAGAAAATTTTCATTATTTCGCTAATCATCGTTTATCAGTTCATTGCAACTTTAAAAACTGATGCTCTATATTGAATACATTTATACCTAAAATATCCTGAAAAACGGCTTAAACAATTTCCTAAAGAAGCACGAGAACTAATTCGGGAGAACACTAAAGCGGGTAGTGCAATCCGGATTGAGTCGATCTGTATTGATTTGATTCGGATTTACATGTAGTGTTACATGCAAAATAAAATAAACTTTTCGAGAAAACATTCTCATATTTCAAGAGTGGGAAGGGGGGTGGAAGCTAATTATGGTTTTTATGTTAAATACAGACTAATTAAGTTTATTAAGACTAATAACATTTATAACTGTTAATGTTAAGATATATACTAATATACTTACTTACTATATATACTTATAATTTCTTTATATATTCTCATCATTTCTCTATATTTTCACTTTTTTTATACTCTCATTATTTCTCTATTTCTCTCTAATATATAAGCAATGAATAAAAAATATCTCAGTATATTTAATATCAATAAATCATTTGAAATTTCAGAAAAGAAATTTTGTAAAAATTTATAACTGCTTATTTCTAATATATGAATGTGATATAGTAATTAAAAGTGTAAAAATAATGATTTTTGGATTATTTACTCCTGTCATCTAGTAAAATATAGAGAATTAAGTATATATAAAAAAGATATTTCTATTGAAAAGCAAAGAAAAACTAGTAAACTTGATCTTAAAAAGTGTAATACAAGAATAAAAATAAAATATATTGCTTTAACTCAAATAATTTATATTGAATATTTCAAAAATATGTCTAATTATAGTTATCTAATTAAAGATAATAACAAGATTAAATAATCTAAAATCATTAAACAAATAATAAAATTATACATATTATTAATTATTGTAATTATTATTAAAGAACTAGCAAAAAAGAATAACTTAGATATTATTAATTAAAATTTATATCAAATTAAAGTTATTAGTATTTAACAAAAAATCTATAGATTATTAACAACTTATCCTATTAGCAAGTATAATTTAGAGCTTAATATTTAAAATACTCTTAAGTTATTAGTTAGCAAAGATTATAAAGTTAAATATTTTGAAATTACTTAATAATTATTAAAAGATTTTTACTTTACAAGTTCTTGATAATTAAAAAAATTATAATATTACAAATAATTTATATTTATAAACTTTACTTATAATACTAATAAATATTTTTTAATATTTATTTACTTTATATATCTATAATAATTTTAGTTCTTAGAATATGAATATATACTTTTTTTTAAGTAATAAAGATAATAATATAATAATTAAGATATTAAAAATAATTCAAGAATTTCTATCTTATTGATATTCTTGATATATACTTAGTAACAGAAGTAATATAAAGATTAATAGTATTACAAATATTTTTTTTGATATTATACATAATAAACAAAATTATAATATTATTTTATATATTATTTATATAATATATATATAACTATATAATATTTATTATTCAGTAATATATAATAAATTAATTCTAACTATTTATAAAAAAATAAGTATAAATTATGAGGAAGTAATTCATAATATCATTATTATCTATTCTATTTCAAATATTATTTACTATATTTAATATAATTATTCAAAAAATATAAAGAAATAAGTATTTTAAATATATTAATATTTATCTTTCTTACTTTAAATTACTTTTATAAATCTATTAGAATCATTCTATAATGAATTAAAAAGATTAATTATAAAGAAATATAACTTAATTAATAAGTATTGTTATGATAAATTGGTAAGTGAGGTTTCACTTTAATTCATCTTAATGATATAGAATTGAAAGAGATTAAAATAATTAAAGAATAAAGAGAGAGAAATTAGATTATAACTTTCAATAATAACAAAGATTTCTAAGATCTGTGCCAATATCTATAAATATTATCTTAAAAAAAATAATAAAATAAAGAAATAAATAAATAAATCAAAGAAATTATAAAGATTGACTGAGTGAAATCACTAGTAATTGATATAACTCAAGATTTAAATTGATTAAATAGCAAGTTATTAATCAAAGAAGACTATAACTAAGATAAAAATAAAAATTATAATACAATAACTAAATAACTAAATAAATAAAAAATATGGCTTATGTAAGATTATTTTGTTAATGTTTGTAAACAAGATAAAATGCGATATGAATAAGTTTTAATTTTATAACTTAT